AAAAAATATTTAACGACTGATGTATATTTTTTTAATTCATCAAATTTTTTTGATTTCTGGATAACTAAATGACTCCATTGGAAAGATTTTCAATCTTATAAAAGAACTGGATTTAGAAGATAGTAACAAATATTGTAGTACAGAACAAATGATGTTGGTAAATATTGTGGCCGAGAACCCGGATCATCCTTTTTTATGGGAGATTTCTCACGCAGTAGTTTATACAAATCCTAAAACAATGAAGATTTTCCAAATACTACAAAATATTAAAAAGCGTGAGTGTGACCTTGAACTATTATTTTGGTATCAGGAGTCAATTTTTAATGCAATTGTGAAATTAACATATAATAAGATTATAACAGTCTTGCAACAAGGAACTCTTCTCAAGCCGGAAGACATCGTAAAGTCAATACCAAAATTCATAGAATTGCCGACGGATGTCACTGATTATTTTACGAGCGGAATATATGATACCGATAAAAAGAATGAACAGAATAATACCGATGATATTAAAGAAAAATTAATTAAAAAGATTACTGATCTTCGTGACTCGATTACCAATATAATTTTAATAACTTATAATACAACAAAAAATCAAGACGTATCTAATTTAGATGAATTTACAACATATATGAATTCAAACAGTGAAAAGTTTTACTGTTATATTTCGGTGTGTAAATTCCTACGAAATGAATTCACTAAATATTACATACCATTTATAAGAGATCTGTCAAAAGTCAAACACATTGTGTACGAGGATGTTAGAATCGACGAAATCGTTCGATCCGATGTGGATGATAAACTAACAAATAGTAGCAGGTGTCAATATGTTAGAGATTTGTACAGTCTCTGTCTTGAAGCAACCACATTTTTAAAAATGACTTATGAACAAGATCATTTGATAGACGAATACTTAGAGGAAGTAAATACTATTTTGACAACGATTAGAAAATGGTCCATTGAGGTGATCGAACGGTGTACCTACAAGGGCTGCAGGGACCTTTTAAAAGTGTCATACCATATTTACGTTGTCTTGAATCCAAAACACAAGGATCATTTTAAATACAATCAAGCGCCGATGTTCATGTCATTGATAATGTCCATTTTAAATACCTATGGTATTGATCACTGTAGTCCACCAACAAAAAAATTCTTGTTATTCAACACTACATATCTCGAGGCTATAGGCAATGATGCTGCACTTAATAAACGTTTAAATTCATTTGTGCAAAGCCTTGAGGTTTACCGAAACATACCGATAGTTGAAAACTACTCAAGTTTTTTAAATATTGACAAATTTTTAAAACTTATATTGAAAAAACGGATTTGTTCACTAAAAACAAAGAGAAGTTCAGTTTTTTTTACAAAGGTGAAAGAAAGTACATTCATGAAATTTACAACAACATACGTGCAATTATTTTGGACCCTTCGCATGTGTTCAAATTGTATGATATATATTTCAAATTCATTCTTTGTTCTATATTTTACAAAGTGTGGGTTTTCGCTAATTACTCAGTTAAAGAAAGTCATCCACAATCGAATCTATTGCGGTTTGATGATTGTGATGACTTTCAAAATCATTATAAAATGTTCCTTAATATTGAAAATTTTCCCTCAAATTTATCGATACTTGTGTCTAATGTTGATCGATTTTCTATGTTGGTATATGATCTATGTTATACAAGAGTAGAGATAACCGAAAATAACGACAAAAAAAATAAGTTTAAAGATTCTAGGACAGTAAGCGATTTAGATAAGCTGTATCTTAAAATATACAACTTAAAAAACAATATGAATAAGCAATTTGAAGAATTTGGTATGTTCATACCAAAAATATTAGAAGAGATTCCGGAAACGCCGTTAACCATAAAGGACAAATTCAAACAAACTGTTCTTAGAAAAACCAAAAAAATAGAATTGATAGAAATAGTTTTCGGAGATATGTCTGAGAATACCTGCGAACTAGTCAAGGCTGCTAACATTATGCTCTCAGAACTCATAATCAATATTTAATTGAAGGTAACGGGTCAATTTTGAATATGCATTATTTATGAAAACTTACTACCTAACAATATTTTTAACCTTTCTCGGTTACAATTATTTTTCTTTCTTTACTCCCCATATAGTTGTAATATAGGTACAAATATGATAACACATTTTATTATTTTAAGGAATAACTTATGCACAAAAAATACAAAAAATATGCTCTAAAAAAAATATATAATATGAATTTCAGTACTTAAATTATACAATTAATATGAAAAAGATAGTTTGATTATTTACTTAAGATAAAAACTTGAAATATTAACTATTGTAGTATTCTACTTCATTTTCTTCTCATTCACCATAAAAAAAAATATTTCTAAATGTACCTATACATATATGCTCTTAATTTGTCAAAAACCAACATTTTAAACTTAAAATCGTTCAAAGCATGTTCTTCTTTTTCCAAACTATAATTTTCTTACATCGAAAAATGCCAATTTGTCTTCTTATTTTTTTCTAATACATGCTCAAATATGCATTTCTATGCAATGACGACAAATTATACAAAAATATGAAAAATAAAATTTCGAGTGTACCTAAATTATTTTTTTTACATAATTTAATATCTAAACATCACTCACACTGAGGACTTTCTCGATAAATATGAAATAGCTAGAAGTCCTCAGTTCTACTAATAACTTATTTCTATTTTAGTATTAAGTAAATCGTAATTTGTAAATTATTAAAATTTACATAATATGTTTCAAACAAATAAAAAAAAAAATAATAGCAACCAAAATGGACACATAAACGAAGATAAAAAAAATATTTAATTTATTAATAATTATTTTATTATTTTTATAATATTATAATTTATTTTCTTAAGTAACACTCACGCACATTTTGTAGCTTGTCTTGCAAGGTATTTTTTTTATTTTTTTTTTGTGAACACTAAAGCCGTTCGAGTATTGTATATCTGCTTTATTTGATCTATACAATATCGTAAACACATCTTACTTACATAATATGAGTGTATTTTGAACTGAAAACTTATCTTAGTGGGAGCTGCTCTCCGCTAGAAGCCTTGAACCGTGTGAGTAAATGCGTGAATATATAAGTAACACTGACAAATGGAACAATTTAATTTGAATAAAGTTATATACATTCTATTCGTAATATATAATAATATAAAATATATTTGTGTGCACACGTATTCGTAAGCAGATAGTGTCTCTTACACCCATATAGATATCATACAGTGGTCAACACTAAAAAATAAAAGGGGGTCCCATATTGAGTCACTTACCTCTATATTGGCTAATATTGAAAATATTGGTCATTTTTTCTGTCTGCATTTTGGTGGATAACATTTTGCAATGTGCTCTAGTAAACAAATATAATCATTTTTTCGTTTAAATTATATTGTAAATGAAAATATGCAAAAAAGAGCTATTATAATATTTGTATAATATATATTCCAAACTAAAGTTAGGTACATCATTTGTTCAAATAATCATTCGTTTGATAGATGCCTATAGGGTATTTTTGAAAGTTCAAGTTATACCTAGCCAAAACCATAATACTACAATAGTATAGTACATTCTCATGGTGAATTTGTATTTTGGAATTTTAAAAACTTTATTTTCTTTAATTTTCATGATGTCAGGTTCTTATTTAATATTCACATCCAGCGCTTTCTATATCTATCCCTAACACAATCCATTGTTTATTATGGTATTTGTATCTGGGGTCAAGCATATGATTCACATACATTTCGGCTTAAAATCACACTTAATAGGTTAACTAAATTTTTACTATTTAGATCCATGTATTATAGTAATGATTTTGCTTATTTAGAACTTAATGTTTCATACTTTCAAAATTTATGTTATAGAAATATCCTATTTAGCTTATACAGGTTTAAGCATAATCTAGCTAGAGTTAATCACTCATATAATACTCGATATAAAGACAATATTAATATTTGTGTACCCATTTCCAAAAAGCAATTAGGTCTAAAAAGTTCAATATCCACAGCTTCTCTGATATGTAGACAGCTTAATATTAATATTTATAAATACAGAAATATTTGTATATTTAAATCTTTTCTGAAAACTTTAGATCTCACATATTTAATATTGTGATAAAACGTGTTAATTTATATAATTTTTATGATTATACTGTTTGCTAAAAATGCTTTTCTTTTTTTTCCATTTGTTTTACTCTAATGTAAATCCTTTAATAATTTGTTTATCTATTTTTACTATATTGTATTGTACTCAAACTTTTATACCCCCCCAAAACAAGCGTATGCGTAAAGGGGCGTCTTACATATTTCTTCTAATGTATTAGAGTAAATGTATATTGTTTTTGCTAAATAAAATTATTATTTTTATTATTTATTATATTCACCGAAGAAATAGTTTAATTAATAATTAAAATACCTAATCATGATGGGTTTAAAATAAGTAAATTTATTTATATAAAAAAATAAATATCTATTTATAAAATAAAATCCAAAACATTAATTAATATTTTTACTTGAATATTGAAACTCATTTATGATACTATAATAATTATTTATTATTATAATTAGGTATTAAAGTTATAATTTGGTTAGTTGGCAACACCGATCGAGAACTTGCATACAAACAATAAAAATTTTCTTGAAAAGCATGAAATTATCATTTTATATTGACCACAGACAATGATCTGATTCTGCATTAAGAAATAAGTATTATGTTTTTTTGATCATGGTTGGCATAAGTTTGAGTTAAATTTTGATACGAAATTTATATTTTATTCTTTATCAATAAATGTTCCTATAGATTTATTCATACGCATAAACAAAATTAACGTATTTTATTACACAGCTGTTCAACTTCTAAACGTACTGTAATTTTGTCTGGTAAATAATATTACAAACATATTTTATTTTAGAAACCAAATACAACGATTAAAACAAATTCATACGCAGTAGTTAGTTTGAACCTAATATAGTAAGTTATGTCAAAATGTCGCATATTAAACTATATAATTTTATATTAATATTTTTGTGTATTACATCGAACATTTTTTCAGTTTTATCAAAATTATCAAAATTAGAGAATGATGTCAACAATGCAGTACGTTCTAGTATATTTACCGGTGATAATTTGTCATATAGTATTAAACTGCGTCAGTACATAATTCTGTATGGATATTTGGTTCCAACTGCAGCTACAGAAACCAATACAGATATGTACATGAGTGTATTTTATATTTATACGAACTGTTCATTTGCTGAATGGCTTCAGAATAAACTATTTAAATTTATCGAAAAATTCCCAATATTTTATCAAACGAAATTTCAAAACACTACAAATAATGAATTTATCAAACCTTTTGTAAGACCTAATCTAATTGATAAATTAATTGAAATCGACTCTTTTGTTAAACGCTCCATAAATATTTTACTGCACAATTTTTTACATCTCACTAAACAGAGAGATTATGATACGTCGTTATTAAAAACAATGTTATTACTACAATTTAGAATTCACTTTTTGACGCTCCCTGTAGATACCAAACAACCACCAACAGATGATGTAGTAGTTCGATCAATTCTTGAAATAATGAACTTCATTCAAATGTTCATGGCCACGAATTGTGATGTTCACACTTATAATAAAAAATATTATAACAATGATAGATATTTTATTAAATCATAACATTTCTTTGATTTCTATATAACTACATCAGCTGACACAAATGGCTATATTTTAAAGATTTTCAATCTTATAAAACAACTGGGTTTGGAAGACAGTAATAAATATTGTAATACAGATCAAATGTTGTTGGTAAATATTGTGGCAGAGAACCCAGATCATCCTGTTTTATGGGAGATTTCTCAAGCAGTAGTTTATACAAATTCTAAAACAATTAAGATTTACCAAATACTACAAAAAATTGAAAAACGTGAGTGTGACCTTGAACTAATATTTTGGTATCAGGAATCAATTTTTAATGCAATTGTGAAATTAATATACAGTAAGTTAATAACAGCCTTGCAACAAGGAACTTCTAAGCTGGAAGAGATTGTTAAGTCAATACCAAAATTCATAGAATTGCCAACAGATGTCACTGATTATTTTACGAGCGGAATATATGATACCGATGAAAAGAATGACCAGATTAATACCGATGATATTAAAGAAAAATTGATTAAAAAGATTACTGATCTTCGTGACTCAATTACCAATATAATTTTAGAAACTTATAATACAACTGAAAATCAAGACGTATCTAATTTAGAAGAATTTATAACATATATGAATTTAAACAGTGAAAAGTTTTACTGTCATATTTCGGTGTGTAAATTCCTACGAAATGAATTCACTAAATATTACATACCATTTATGCGGGATCTGTCAAAAGTCGAACATATTGTGTACGAGGATGTTAAAATCGATGAATTCGTTCGATCCGATGTAAATTATAAACTAACAAATAGTAGCAGGTGTCAATATGTTAGAGATTTGTACAGTCTCTGTCTCGAAGCAACCACATTTTTGAAAATGGTTTTAGACACAGAAAATGATTTGGTAGACGAATACTCACAGGAAGTAAATACTATTTTGACAACGATTAGAAAGTGGTCCAATGAGGTGATCGAACGGTGTACGTACAAGGGCTGCAGGGACCTTTTAAAAGTGTCATACCATATTTACGTTGTCTTGAATCCAAAGCACACTGATCATTTTAAATACAATCAATCGCCGATGTTCATGTCATTGATAATGTCTGTTTTAAATACCTATGGTATTCATCACTGTAGTCCACCAAAATTCAATTTCTTGTTATTCAACACTACATATCTCGAGGCTATAGGCAATGATGCTGTACTTAATAAACGTTTAAATTCATTTGTGCAGAGCCTTGAGATTGACCGAAGCATACCGATAGTTGCAAGCTACTCAACTTTATTAAATATTGACAATTTTTATAAAACATATCTTGAAGAAACGTCTTTGTTCATTAAAAACAAAGACAAGTTCAGTTTTTTTTTCAAAGGTGAAAGGAAGTACATTCATGAAATTTACAACAACATACGTGCAATCATTTTGGACCCTTCGCATGTGTTCAAATTGTATGATATATATTTCAAATTCATTCTTTGTTCTATATTTTACAAAGTGTGGGTTTTCGCTAATTACTCAGTCAAAGAAAGTCAGTCAAAATCGAATGTATTGCGGTTTGATGATTGTCATGACTTTCACCATCATTATAATATGTTTCTTAAAATTGAAAATTTTCCCTCAAATTTATCGATACTTGTGTCTATTGTTGATCGATTTTCTACGATGGTATTTGATCTATGTTTTATAAGAGCAGAGATAACCGAAAATTACTACAAAAAAAATAAGTCTAAAGATAAATTACCACAGTTTAAAGATTCTATTACACTAAGCGATTCAGATAAGCTGTATTTCAAAATAAACAAACTAAAAAACAATGTAAATAAGCAATTTGAAGAATGTGGTATGTTCATAACAAAAATATTAGAAGAGATTCCGGAAACGCCGTTAACCATAAAGGACAAATTTAAACAAACTGTTCTTAGAAAAACCAAAAAAACTGAATTGATAGAAAAAGTTTTCGGAGATATGACTGAGAATACCTGCGAACTAGTCAAGGCTGCTAACAATATGCTCTCAGAACTCATAATCAATATTTAATTGAATTTAACAGGTCAATTTTGAAAATGCATTATTTGGAAAAACTTGTATACCAAATACAACTTTATATACTTTTCAAAAACAATATTTTTTACCTTTTTTGCTTACAATTATTTTTCTTTCTCTATTCCCCATATAGTTGTAACATACAAATACGAATACATATTTTATTATTTAAAGCGTTATTATAATATATTACCATTACATACAATATAGGAGATTGACAGTTTATGTTAAAAATTTAAATTTGAATATATATTATTATATAACTTTGATATCCTATGTGTTATTTTCATTTATTGTTTTTAATGTTGTCTAAAAATCCTGTTGTTTTGTCTGTATATTCTAATTATTTACCAAGAACAAAAATAATTGTAAAAATATTGATGTTTAAATTTAAATGAATGATGTTTATAAGATCTGTATTATTTTAGAATTTAGATGAGTGAATTGAAAATTTCGCTGAATGTCTATTTCAACTTAATTCATCTTATCTAAATATAAAATATTTTTAAATTAAAGATTTATATTGATAACAAAATAATAAAATAAAATTGTTATCATTGTTTAGCTTCAGATTATAAAATCAACAATAAAAAAAGAAAAATTGGTGTTTCGTTATTTAATGAATAACTTTTTTTTTTTTAGGTAAGCATATTATAGTTAATTATTATTATAATTATAGCTAATTATGTATATTGGATACATTTATTCTACACAACTTACCTAATGTGAATATGCTTTCTATAGAACTGCTTTATGTCGTTTTGATTGAGCATATTAAACTATTATAACTAGGTGTGTCTGCTGGTTTCTAGTTTAATCATTTTAACTAGTGATGTGGTTCTTGACGTCTGGGAAATGTACATGGGTCCATTTCTCCAGCCCCCCCAATTTGGAATTTTGAAATTCTGATTGGGCCAATCGTTTGTGCATCGTTTGTGCACGAATGTGCACGAAGTCCGGTCGTTTGTGCACAAAAACTGTGGAGATTATCCCTAAATCAAATTCGGGGGGCCGTAGAAACGGCAGCCCCCCCGATTTGGAATTTTCAAATTCTGATTGCGCCAATCGTTTGTGCATCGTTTGTGCACGAATGTGCACGAAGCCCGATCGTTTGTGTACAATTACTTCCGGAGATATCGCAAAAACAAATTCGGGGGGCCGTAGAAACGGCAGCCCCCCCGATTTGGAATTTTCAAATTCTGATTGCGCCAATCGTTTGTGCATCGTTTGTGCACGAATGTGCACGAAGTCCGATCGTTTGTGCACAATTACTTCCGGAGATATCGCAAAAACAAATTCGGGGGTCCATTTCTCCGGCCCCCCCCAATTTGGAATTTTGAAATTCTAATTGTGCCAATCGTTTGTGCATCGTTTGTGCACGAATGTGCACGAAGTCCGATCGTTTGTGCACAATTATTTCCGGAGATATCGCAAAAACAAATTCGGGGGTCCATTCCTGAGGCCCCCCGATCTGGAATTTTGAAATTCTGACTGTGCATCGTTTGTGCACGAAGTCCGATCGTTTGTGCACAATTATTTCGGGAGATATCGCAAAAACAAATTCAGGGGGTCGTAGAAGAGACAGTATACGGAAAAAGAACTACAATCATAATAGGTATTATTTATTTATTTATTTATTTATGTTGTATATCAACGGGTATATACCCTTTTACAAATTATATAAAGGAAACATATTAGATAAAAACTAAAAACTAAGGAAGTGTAGTAACACCTAACAAATACAGATAAAAATAATATAAAATTAATTCTGAATTAAAAGTAATAAAAATATAAAATTATAATTATATTATGAACATTTTTTTTTTTTTTTTTATATATTTAAAACAATTGCGTGAGAGAAAAAATATATCTAAATGTATACAAATTTTATTAGCTAAAATTAAAGCTCGAGAGAAAAAAGAATTGGTACCACTATTCGTTTTATAATGAGGAACTAAAAATAAATCTGAACTACGTGTAATTAGATGTGGAATTCGAAAACTGATTTCAGACAACAATTCGGGACACATGATATTGTAATTAATAAGATCATAGACAAACATAATATCAGTTAATTTCCGTCTAAGTGAAAGAGAAACAAGGCCAATATAATCTTGAGTTAGATGGAGAGAGTCCCTAGATAATGGAATATTCGATAAGTATGAAATCCTTTTTAAAAATTTATATTGTACATTGTCTAAATCATTTATATATGTCAAGTATTTGCATGACCAGATTACGGAGCCGAAATCAAGATTGGATCTAACTAAAGATGTATACAAGGTTTTTAAGCATAACGGATTTTTGAAATCTTTAGTATTTCTATTAATAAAGCCTAAATTAACCTAAATTAATTATAATCAATATTTTTGCGATATATCTTTTTCCATTATTCTATTACTGTTACTTTATAATATTTATTATATTGTTATTATTAAATAATATCTAAAATATATATATATAATTTTAGTCTAATAATTGTATTTAGATATACTATAGTCTATATAGTAATCACAGAATATAATATTATACAACAAATTAAACTAATATTTTTATATACAGAGTGATCATAACTTATTATATAACTTATATATTCTATCAATCATTTACTTATGCTCATTCGTATATATTTTATCAATAATAATATATATCATAATAATATAATATAATATTAATTGTTTAATATAATAATTAATAATTAATGTACCTATATTTTTTTCTGAAACACGCTTATGATTATTATATATGTATAATAAATATCAATTATTACCATCATATTATAAAACCCATAGTAAATATAGCTATATGTAAATTTAAAAAAATAAATGTCTTTGTAATAAATTGGACAAAGCTGGCCACTAACTAGTTAGTTTTAATTCATAGTAATTGTATAACTGCACTACCTATAGTTGAATTTAATGTGTAAAATGATCTAATCTAACTCGTTAAAAATAATAAGTTTCGATTCACATTTATGCACTGCTATAAGTACCTACTTTTGAAGTTATATAAATCCTGTTCGAGAGGGAGCTGTAGAGTTGTATATCCAGATGTAGTGTAATATTTGTCATGGAAATTTTAGTGTTGGTGCCTATTTTTATTTTATGTAAGTATTCAAAAAACAATGGCAGTCATCAGAGGTTTGTGGGGCTGTGGAAACTCCATATTGGTAAAAGGACGTTTCAACCCCGTCAAAAAAGCGAGTCCACAGAAGTTTCGTCCCCTTCTATTATTAAGATAGGAAATTTGGCCCCCGGGAGTTATGTGATGTTATTTACCTACTCATAGGACGTTTGGTCCCGATATTTTAAATTACTACATTTAAATGGCTTTTTATAATTTAAAATTTCAATTATTTTTAAAAAACGTACAATTTCAATATAATTTATATTAATGGTAATCGGAATAAAAATCCACCGGAAAAAAAATCCCCGGACTACAATATTACTCACAACCACATGCAAATGGTTAAACAAATATTTTTTAAACGTTAATTAGTATCTATAATTAATATTTAATTACAAATACGTATATTATATTATAATAATTATTAAAAAAATTATATATTTTATAAATAAATTATTTTTTGTTTTAAATTACGATAATAATATATTATGTCTAATTCAACTTAACAACTTAACAATAATAATATAAATAAATAACTATAAAAAATAATAAAAAAATATAAAAATTAACAATAACATTTTATACTACTATATTAATACACATTTTATGTTGGTATAATTCTGTAAAAATTAAATCCCCGAAATAAAATATTACGTTTTCAAAACTTCAAATGTCACTTATGATTGTTGTGTGCGGTGTAGTATACACAAATATATAAAGTATAAAAACATTTCGAGTGATAAAATATAGGGGGTAATATCAGGGCTGGTTTTAAGGGGAGGCACGGGTGGGCAATTGCCCGGGGGCGGCACACTTTGGGGGCGGCAAAATTATCTCAGATAAAATAAACAAAAAATTAATTTTTTTTGTAAAGAGAAAGATTTCTAAAAAATGATACATTTTATTACTATTTATTTTTTAAATTCACATATGCATACATTTTTTTTACCTATATTTTATCATTTTAAATAAAGAAAAATAAACGTTATTAACTAAGTAGGTAGGTACCTATACTAGGTATCATGGAAGATTCTAGGTAGATAGTACCTAAGACCTAAGTTATAAATTAGTTACTTATGTTTTTTTGTATAGTTTAAATACTATTAAAAATCTAATATTGGAATGCATAGGTACCTAGTTAAAATTGCTAAAAATTAACTGCAAATTAAATTTCAATGAGAAAGGGAAACATAAAAAAGGTGGGAAAGTGGGTGTCGCTCTGCTGTACAGTAGATTACAAGTGGGTCACTGTATAATGGATGATATTAAATTTGAATTCAACGATATAATATCATTGTACAAGAAAAACGATTCTGAGCGGAGACGGTATGTCAGTCTATGTATAAGAAATGCTATATACATATCGATGGTATTAAACAAAAAATTGACCTATAATAGGTACCTATTATAAATTCCAAATTAATCATATCCCAATATCCATTTGGTACTTATAACGCGTTATACATCAACAACAAACCCTGATACTATCATAGATATATAATAGTGTACTTTAGAAATTTCAAGTACCCACGAATAATATTATACAATCATAACAAAATAACTAAAATAGTTATTTTAGGTTTTTTAATTTGTAATTTCGTCCAAATTTGAACTTAAAATGACTATAAAAATAAACTGTGTTCATATATTTTTTAGATTTTTTGGTTACAGAATGAACTATGTATGAGAACCATTGTTTTAAATTTTTTCGAGATTTTGATAAATTTTGTCAAAATTCGATCTATAAATGCTTATAAAAAAAAATTGTGCCTATGTATTTTTAATATTTTTCAATTGCTATTGTAACAATATATCAGGAGCCTTGTATTACATTTGTACACTTTTTGACCCAACAGATAAAACTTTAA